AGAAGAAACTCCAGGAGTATCGGTAGATGAAGTACGTGGGCGGAAACACTGGAAGTCGACAGGCAAAGATAGGGTTCGAACCACGAACCTTTTGGTCAGTAGATTCGCGCTCTAACCACTGAGCCATCTCGCCCCATACTACCCAGCTGCTCTGATTCCATTCCTGAGCATTGATGAAGGCGTCAGGGAAATCCGGGGATATCCCTATTGTCGAACCGGTCATTAAGAAGGATCCGTCCTTATAACCTTGGCGTGTAGGTATCCTGGCTCGGTGGAGACCCTGTACTGCAACAGTTGCGAGAAGTGGCGTAACATTCCCACTGTCTTATTCTACAGGACTTTAGCGTTCCCAGTGTTATGATCCAGACAAACAGACAGACAGGTGTAGATGAGTCAGTTTTCTGTGACGTACGATGAATGAAGATTCGAAAATGAAGATTGAACTGTCCTGTTGATAAATGACCAATTAATGGTATGTTGGTAATAAAGTTTATGTAAAATACAAAGGTGTATCTGATTCCGTGGGTCGTTTGGCTCCTTTCGCTACGCTTGTATGAAAGAATATATACCCGAAGTCCATGAATATCATATGTCCTCGTACTTACATGAAGATGAGTATGCAATGGTGTATATGGAGACCTTAAAAAATCGCCTACAAGATTGGTAGCCGACAAAAGTCTCCATTGTCCATGGTGGTGGGAGTCTGGTGAAATCAGTGAATTCGTGGTGAGACGATCAGGGAGCAGTTATTTGGTTTAGATGAATCTAGCACTGCAAACTAAGGTCGCTGGGTCATCGGCTGCTGTCTACTGGGAAGCGTTTTTTCATGCCTTATTCGGAGTGACGGAGACTTAATGTTTGACAAAATGCGACATAGTAGAAGGGAATGATGTTCTGAAAAGTCAGGGTATTGTTATCCTTCCAGTTCGAGACCCACGTGACTCTTCAGGTGTAATCGATATCGATGGTGTTCATTCTGTGAGTTTTCGAATAGTCTGATTGAACGGTTTGAGGTGTAGGCATTTCCAAATGCTTGCTGTAGGTTAGTACTAGGTCCATTTCATATCCACTCTTATTTCACTTTAAGGCTTTAAGCACAGTTAAATGCGCCTCCTGGTTGCACGGCAGTAAATCATCAATGCCGACTGGATGTCACTGTTTCTCGTGACGATTGCCTTCCCATTGTTTGCTGAAGCCACCGAAGGATGTGACTGTTAATCGAACTCAACGGCTTTCATGCTGTCAGTTTAGTCAGGTTGTCTGATTGAGTGTTGGAGGCGCAGATATCACGAATGTCTGTGGTAGACTTGATCTGGGCCTCCCTTCACGTCATCGAAGCCTCAGTGTTGAACAGTGATGTCGTGCTGTCGATGATGATGTGACTTTTCTTTTGGTCCCATATTCTTCGTTGTGGGAGTTCAAACAAAATGACAGTTTTAAAACAGTGAAACACCAGCGTTCTTTTCTGTTTTTGCTGTCAGGGATGATGGTAATTAGTTCTTGGGTCAATAGAAACAGATGGAATTCAGTCGTGACTAATATACCGTCCGGTTGGGGTAGTCGCTAAATGGTCGTCGAGTCCAGTTTCGGTTTTCCCTCTGATCGCTTGTGGAGCTCATTGGCAGATGAATTCATTTTCCGCATGATCTTTTGGGAATCCAACATGTATATAATGAGGAATACATCCAGAATCTGAACTTCTTCAACTAGGGGGTCATTTTTTGGATGATGTAACCGTTCATTCAGGCAGAACAAGTCCCGGGTGTGGCAGCTACTTACAACGAATAACCCTTGACGTTAAATGCTTGCTGTGTGAAAAATTTCATTCACGGCTTTTTGCGTTGGTCGATGTGCAAAACGATGATCTTAGGGAGTAGAGTCCTTCATGTGGGACAGACTATCAAGGCTCCAGAGGAAGAGGGAGTGACCATCCATAGGATAGTATTCAAACGCTTGATTTTTTGGTAGCCTCTTAGGTGGCAAACTGTCGTGCTGTTGGCTGTTATACCTTTATCACAAAGGATTAGCTTGTACAGCAAACTTTTGAAGCGTTTTCAAATTCAGTGGAGCTCATCAGGGCTGTCCGCTTTCCTCCTTTTCTCTCAACTTTGTCATAGTTGTTACCATGGTTGGTAACCCCATGTGCTACACAGCCAATGCCGGTCAGTGTTTCATCGTCGTCATCACCATCGAATAAAGTAACACCAGTGGGGACACTACCCTACAACCACAAAGTTTAGCTAGTTATATTTAAAACCTTAAAGTAAAACTGTGGTGGACGGAGGAGGGATAGGATGCTAGCCTGCTGCAAGCATTTTGGAAGGCACATATTTAAATACCGAACCAGATAAGCTGGTAGGAAATAGACAGCACGAACGCCACTAACATCGGTTAGACACCACTTCGTCGAAACTCCCTATCCTCATGCATGGGGGCTATGCGGATACCATCCAGCAAGGGACCACGCTCACAGCACCAAAACCACTCGCGATTTCCTCAGCAAATGTTTTCTACACTACATGCTGTCCGCCTCGCTATTCTGAATGTAGAACGGAGGAGAATACTGGTCTCAGTAGACGACCCAACCTGTGTATTACATGGTCGATCCAGTGCGCCTGTTGGTTCTCGAGCTCAAGATTGCTCATTGGTTAAGACGCTAACTTAATGACCGGAAGGTCCGTGCTTTGAACCCAATCCCGGTTTCCCCACCGCCTCTGTTTGGGGTTGGACAACGTGACAATATATCAGCTCTCATGTTTCGGATCGCATGGCAGCTAGGTACCGAAAGTGTGTTACAGCTGGATGATAATTTACTATAGGTGATGGTGCTGCATAGTTCTCGTGGCTTATGTACACACTGAATGGCCGGACACCCGTTTTATAATTACCTCGATACCATCATTGCTTCGGAGACTCCTGAAGACCCAGGGAGGTCATGTCTTGCAACAGCACAACACAACTGCTACTGTAGCCCGCCACATACTGTCTTTGGGACCTAGTGATATACATTTTTGACGCCATAAATCGTCCATTTGTAGCACGTTTTCGGTGCCTGGAGGCCATGCCAACGGAAAGAGGCACGAGTTTCGGAATACTGTTAGGTTACCCATGCCTAGATAGGAGCAGCCGAGATGCTGAAATTGGGTTCGATCCACGGCAGTGAAGCATCAGTGCCAACACTGATGTTGCTGTCTTTGATGATGATGATGACGGACCCTCCGGTCCGTAAGCTGACTCCTTAGCTACACCATAAGGACTCAAACGAGCAAACATAGTGCGAGCGTTTGAGTTTCGTTCCCTGATTTTGTCGGACTACCATCCTCTACAACCTCCTGTGCTCCTTAAACTTCAAGAGGCTGAACTTCTTGAAGAAAGATTTTGCACTTCCATTGAAGAATATGTCAAGCACCAGAAGCTGCGTTGGTTGGGATGTGTATTGCCTATGCCGAACCATTGTTTATCGAAGAATGTTCTTTTCCATGCCAAATTCATAGTGGCGGAAGCAGAGAGGTGGCAGAAGGGTATGAAGGAGAAGGTGTTGTTGGTGCTACTCGCCTTCCAAGGGTAGGAACCGCGTGATTCTCACTACGCCTGGTTGGAGACGCTGCAAGATATGGCTGCCAGTTGGTGTTAGCGGCGTTCATGTTGTCAGTTTCTGTACAGATTACCTGAATGAGAGTCTGGAGGTGTAGGCTTCTTGGAATGATTGTAGTAAGTTAGCGTTAAGTTCATTCCCCGTCCATCTTTATTCTTTTCTTCACAATGAGACTCAAATAAATCATAGTTGTACGGCAGCGAAACCTCCTCGTTTAACACTGATGTTCTGCTGTCGATGATGATAATGATGATTTTGCACTTTCTAGGGCATATGCCGAAAGATTGTGTGGTGGCCCTACAGATTCGAGTAATCTCTGCGTACTCCATGATGGCGATGTTTAACGGAAGCGAAAGAAGTGGAAATGCTTGTCGGGTACCACACTTTGCAGAAATTTTTTTGTAGCTAATACTACCCTCACACACCCCGAAGTGTGTAATTATAAATACTGGCGTATGTTCATGAAGTGCTTCGGCTAGATCGATCGACATAGTCAAACGTATCTTTGAAGTCAAGAAGCACTGGGATGGTTGTTCGTCTCTATGTATGTATGTAACACCCGGTGAAAGGTGAGATTATAGTTAGTGTATCATCTACGCCGAGAAAAACCCGTTTGCTGCATACGTGATGAAGTCTCGCGTGCTGCCATAGGACGAGGAAGAGTAGAAGGCGCTGTGAGTGCCATTTTGAAAGGTGGGTTATATTATCCTCTCATCTAGATTTTCTATGGTGACCTCTTGTTCCCAAATACACGCAGTCCACGTTCCCGTTATGGGCCGGTAACGCGAGCGAATTAACAGATGATCGAATGATATTTTTTCGAAATAGTTCTCCCCACAGTCAAAATCCTCTTTGCTGGATATCCAACGGTCATTGTGGCCCCTCATGGTTTCACTGACAAGAGGCTTCGGAGGACCGGAGACAATCTGCCTGGGGGATTCCTGCATAGTCATAGTCCTATCTGAAACGTAGCGCTCAGAAGAAACCTGCTACCGCACACAGAACACGCGATATCGCGTACAATTCATTTGACAGCTAACGTCCGGAGTCTGATCAGCACACGGGCATTCGGAAAGTTGGCTCTGATATTTTTGTTTGGTTCCGTAGTTCATAACAAATGTACACATCCCAGCAGTTTATTAACTGTGCTCACTGTGTGGCAGGGCGTGTGTACGCCCAGCGGAAATTGTCACTGAACAATTCGATTTGCTTCCCTAGAGCTGACCTGTTTTCTTAATGTCACTTTACGGCGCTTGGTTTATCTTTAGGAATATGATCAAGCGCTTATTTTCGTGTTGTGTTTTTCACTTGTGTTATAAATAATAGACTTAAGCTAACCTTTCATTCTGTGTGCACCATCTTACTGGTGTTGCGTCACACCTTTACTGTATCTTTTGTTGCACAGAGCTGAAGCGTCGTTAAAACCACTATTACAAGAAGTCTCTGTTGGTGTTTCTTCCGATGAGCCAGCAAAACGCTCCAAACTCGCCTCAGAGTTGGATGCTTTGGAGTTCAAAGCCCCTAGAATCAAGATCCACAAAATTGCTGCCCCGGATGCGTGTACGCACGAAGTACGTTGTCCAGTTTAACGCACAGTTTACTTATCATTATTTATCAGGTTGCTGTCCCGCCGGATATGGAGTATCTGCCCATCACAAAGGATAGCAGACCTCCTGCAAAAACCTACCCGTTTACCCTCGATCCGTTCCAGCAACAAGCTATTACCTGTATAGATAATAACCAGTCAGTCATGATTTCAGCACATACCTCGGCGGGAAAGACTGTGGTAGCAGAGTAAGTATTCTGCAGGGAAGTGTCACTTTCCTGCTAAATATAGTTTTCCGAGACTTCACTGAGGTTGAACAAACTTATGTAACCTTGGCAACTTGTCCTCTCTTTTGTTTTAGCTAGATTGCATGTCTTGTTGCTCAGTTGGCGGTTACTGAAGAATGGATAAAGTATAGGCGGAAACCATCTACAAGGTTGATGGAAATGCAGGAAAAACGCAGTGAGCTACCCTCAGGCGAGGAACGAGCAGTCAAGCATAACACGCCTTCAGCATAGGTCTGGTAAACGTCAGCTGGAATCTCAAATAAGTGAACATTTCAAGAATCTGTGGAAAAAGTGTGAAAGTCTTCTAGGGTCGTGCGATCCCGTGGGAAGACAGAGGAAAGTTCTCCGAGAATTTTTTTAGCCTCCTTGAACCGAGGAAGTGAGCAGCACGAACGAATGACTTAGGAAAGGATCCAGGAGATAGGAGTGTGAACAACACTCCTCGTCTTAGAAGCGATAGGATAAAGAAAGGGGTTTTCCGTCCCCACTGCCGTATGGGGTTTAAGGGCCACCAATCATAGTAAGGAAGGCAGTGGAACACGCAACTCCGCTCCGTTGGAATTGGTCGACGGGAGGTCAACGTGTGGTGAAAGTAGCATGATAACACCTTAATGTTGTGGCAACAATCTGAAACAGTGACACTGTCTCCACTAATCAAAGATGGTCGTCTTTCCTGACTTGGAAGTTGCTTTCGGTCCTGTTGATCATTGGGCACTGACAGTGTCTGTGGAGCATATGTACTCATCAATTCGTAGCTCTCTAAGGTGGCGTCAGACAAGACATTCTCCGTCCCTTTTCCCCTTCAACTTTTCACCAATATGGAGTTGAACTCCTTCCAGGGCGAGACGGCTCAAGTTGTTGGAGCACCAATTTACTGACCGGAATGTCCGTGGTTGAAAACCGACCTCTGCTTCTCGACTTCGTCTGTCTAGGCATGGGCTACCTGGCAGTACCTCAGCCATCGGATGGCATGGCAGTTAAGACGCGGAAGGATGCTACAGCTGTACGGTTTAGGACGTTCAATCACGCATTGAGTATCTACTAAATAACCTCAATAGCTCAGCCTCATAGATTGGCGCGCGCTTCGTCTACAAAGTGTACAATTCTGCTGCAAGACCAAATAGCACCTGAAACGCATACTTGTAGGAGGGCCGATTGAGATTTCACACGAAGTTTTTGACCGACAACTCTTATCAGTCCCGGTGGTCTAGCTGAAAGCTAGACCGTCTGAGTAAGGAAGAACAAGGTGGTTTTTTTATGCCAAAATCCAACACTTGTGGCGTAGGCGTTACACCAGTTTGCTTGTCAGAGTCGAGCATACTATGCTACCATATCGCTAGCATCCATATCGCTATATACATAAGAAAATTGGCTACTGCTACTACGTTAAGAACCTTTCCGTTTCTGATCATCATTGACTTCGGATCATTGACCGAGTCTGTGGGAAAATCGGGTCGATAGTGCTTAACTATGCCGAATAGCACGCACACGATAGATTGGGCTGATGACCCATAGGTGTTGCACTGGTTTGGTCATATGTCCAACGGACTCGATTTCTCGAAGGGATCTCTTCGTGCAGCCACAGAGAGAATGCAAACCAGCCAGGGATGGTCCATTTAGGTGCGTTTTTAGCTAGACTATTATTTCCGTGGTGCGGACAAAAGTTACGGGCTCTTTGACATTTCTTGTGGTCCAAATTATGCTGTTCCTCTTTCTGCCTCACTTCAGGTATGCCATTGCAACAGCTCTACGCGACAAGCAGCGAGTTATCTACACCACACCCATAAAGGCTTTGAGTAATCAGAAGTATCGAGAATTCTACGAGCAGTTCCCAGAAGTCGGTTTGATGACGGGCGACGCCACTATCAATCCCAGTGCAAGTGTCCTCATTATGACCACGGAGATACTGCAGTCCATGTTGTACCGGTGAGCGAACCCTCTTTAAATCCGTTTCGGTGGGCATCTTTTCTCCTCCTGGTACATCAATCTTTAAGCAAGTGTCCTATGACCACGGAGATACTGCAGTCCATGTTGTACCGGTGAGCGAACCCTCTTTAAATCCGTTTCGGTGGGCATCTTTTCTTTCTC